AGAACAGGAGACATTTCTCGTCTCATCATTCATTCTTCCTATTTTTGATCGTAAAAGCCACTGGTGGAGTTTGGCAGGCTAATTTCATATTATTAGATCTTTGGTGAAGACGAAGATTCTTCTACAGTAAGAACACTCACCTCTCTGTACTGCTTTGAACCTCTCCTCGTATAGTCTATAGGCCTTAGCATGGGCTCGCAACAAGTTGTGTGCACACTCGTACTCCAACAACCCCCCCGCTTGGATGTAGGGCACCAAGTAGCCAAGCCTAGGGTTGAGAAAATTCCACTTTTGATTAGTTATTGCCCTCAGCATGTTTTCAATAATTGATCATTTTATTTCCGTGAAGATAATATATTTTTTTTACCACCAAGATGAGAAAACGAAATTTGCGGTTGTGTATTATAGTTCAATCAACATTTTTTGACAACACTCAAAGCCCCAACTTTAGATTTTTAAATGGGACATCCTATATATTTTTACTTACCTATTTCGATCAAGAATGACATTCAAACTATTCGTTAGACTAGCCACCCCCTTTCCATTTAAAAAAAAAACGAGTTAACTGAGAAAGTTCATATATGTATTTGCGACTTTTCAATATAATACTCAAAACGACTGTGAGGTCATAAGCCTCGAATTAGTATTCTTTCCATCTTATCAGATCAAGAATGAAGCGATTTATACGATCCATCGCATTCTAGATCAAAAAATAAAAATTGGTAGAATGACCAAACTCAGCCTCCACCATTTCATAGGAAAAAATAATCATAAAAAAACACGAATCCCAACGTACCACGTGATGGTGAGTCGTTCGAAAAATTTAGACCATTCTGTCGTCTGAACCAATGAACCTACTGTCGGTTCTGCTGAGTGAAAGACAAGCTAGCTTACATATTTATTGTTTATGATCTCACTCAGAGAAACTTAGGTTTCACCAATTCAGAACCAACCCAACCTCATTCAAACCTGGACTTTTTTAAATAGAGTACAGTGAATTGTAATAGACCCTTCTGGAATCGTCATTGAGAGGCAGAATTCGTCCCACGTGATACATTTTGGATGCATGCTCGCAGCAAAACTCCTCCGGTTCTCGAAAGGAAGGACAAACACAGTGGGCTGACGCCATGGACCAGAATAAAAATCCCTGATCCAAACGCAGCATCCACAATTCCAATGCGAAAAATAATCATCAAAAAACACGAATCCCAAAATATCACGTGCTGGGAAATGGTTCAAAAGATGTAGACACTTCTGTCGTCTAATCCAACAAACAGACTGTCGGTTCTGTTATGTGGAAGACGAGCCAGCTGAACATATTTATTGTTCATGGTGTTGTTCAGAGAGACTATAGTTTCAGCAATTTAGAACCCACCCAACCTCATTCAACCCTGGACTATTCGAAAAAGAGTACAGTGGACTGTAATAGACCCATCTGGGATCGTCATGGAGTGGCGGAATTTGCCCCACTCACATGGAACCTAACCTAACCTATAGCCCCACCATACCCGTAGCCTCCGTTACAGTACTGTCTGGGCTCGTTGAATGTGGCCCAAAACTTGACGTCATTGCCAAAGAGGTGGAAACAGACAGCTGCGTAGTCAGCAAACCAGTCGATGAAGGACTCGTTGAGGAGACCGTTGTGTCTTTGTAGGTTCATAGGCATATCCCAGTGGAAGATGGTGACGACAGGCTCGATGCCGTTGGCTCTCAGTTCTCGGAGGAGATTCTTGTAGTAGGTGACGCCGGCATGGTTGATTCGGTCCGGGAATCCTGAAATAATCAAATGTTCCAGATCGACAATGACATAAGATAAGATCGAACTGGAGAAAATTAAAGATGCGCTTACTCACTATAACTCAGGTTTCCGAACACGAAGAAACATGATTCGCTGTCATGTCATATCACCTCATTCAACCAAGGACTTTGAGAAAAAAAGGGGAGTGGAGTGAGCCCTTCTAGACCAATCTGGGGTCGAAGTGGAGCGGCGGTATTCGCACCAATCCATATATTTACTAAACTGGGCGTCAATTGAAACGTTAATAGTGAAATTTGGCATCAAGTTTGACTTCTCGTAATTTCTAAAATATTGAACGAATTTTGAATTGCCGCCCAGATTCTGAATGCCTTTTTCATCGTCTTTCGAACCGTTCCTTACAGCTTCTTCTAAATTGATCAGGACCCATAATACAGGGTGAAACAAAGTTTCGTGCATTTTGAAAAAAATTTCTCCGCCCCTCCCCCATCTTGTCGGATGAAAACAGCCATATAAATCATTCCAGAATTACGTTATTTGACAGGTTGCTGGGGGGCAAACATTATATTTTGTCAAGAATTGTCATATAAAACCAGAATAAGTGGGATCGTTCTCCTTGGAATCCGAGTTGGAAACAGAAAGAATTCAATAATTTTGTTTGGTGGTAAGGTAACCTAACAGATAGTTTGTGTGCCCCTCAAGAAACCATGTCAATAAAATCACGTGTTCTAGAATGATCAATAGAGACAGAAGTTGGTCCCGCTTCGTGGACAGCTATGATTCATATAATTATGAGAAGTAGATATATGCACCAATCACATGGAACCAAACCTAACCTAACCTAGTCAATGGGTCGCGTGCAAGATCTCTCAGATGACTGACCTTGAAGGTAAAACAATTTACGTAACCTCACTTTTCGTATTTTTTTACGAACGATTGGAAATAGTTTTTCCGAGTTTTTACTCAAAATTCTTGCATAACGAATCGTGATTTTTGGTATATTCATTTATTCAAACTTGCTGTCGCATTGTGTCGTTGTGCAATGTATGTACTTACAAAAAATGCAGCGAGAGACGAAGGATTTCGTTTTTTAAAAAAAATCGTCATCTGATGAAAGTACTGTAGTCTCACTCACATTTTCACATAGTTTTCAGTTTAAAATTTTGTAATGTCTCTTTAGACTCCCTTCTGCGATAGGAGCAAAAAAAAAAGATCTGTGAAGTTTCTAAAAGAAGGCAAGAAGCTTGGATTTGTGCAATCAAACGGGAGGACTGATTTGACATGGTGACGAAATATGTTTGTGTGTGTTGCAGATATTTTTAATAATATTCGACGGGTAGTTGGAGATTACTGTCGCTGGTATGCTCGAAAAAATGTGATCATATACAAGGCACTCTAGATTTTTCTTGGTGGGCCTTGTATGTGTGAAATATTGCGAAAATAATGTCTTGGCATGTAACATATTATAGTATATTATCTCAGCCCCAGCCTGTATATTTCCATTATATCACATTATCCAGAAAAACGTTGATGGAGGTTTTTTTTTTTTTTTTTTTTTTTTCTCCACCCCGTTGTAGGCTCCGACGACACTTAGGCCTAGTGGCCCATTGTATCTCACCTACATGCCGTTATCAATTTTACCACATACGACTCATGGTGCCTATTAAGGGCCACTTCAATATGAAATACCCTTTTCGTTCAGGTTCCTGAAGATTGCTCTTCCGATCCCTGTTCTCGTCTACGAAGAAGGCCAAAAGTTTTCCTTCTCCTACGAGTGACGGGGGAAGGGGTTGGTCCAGCCCTGTGGTGCCCCCTGCACAGGGCTAAGGCTGCTTACTCTGGGATGTCGCCCTGTTTCCCAGAGGCCCCGTTAGCGACACCATTCCTCGGTGCCATCCATTCATCGCCACGGGTTCCCACAGCTTGGATTAGGTTGCCAGAGCCTCGTTGACCAGTCCTCGACCACCTAGACAAACATCAGCAAATCGCCCCATCCCTGCCACAGATGTCCACAAATTGTCCCATCTGGCAGAAGATAGCAAAGATGGTCCCAAAATGCTTCATCTGTCAAGCGGCCGCGGCCTGCCTTCCCCACACCACTTGATGGTGAGGTTGGGCTTGGAGGGGAAGAGGAAAAGAGAAGTTGGCCAAGAAAGGCCGATAGAAAGATTGAAAACGGAGAAGAGAAGAGGATATCACCCAAGACAAGTTGAAGTATAGTGAATATCCGGCTAGGGTACCTCGGGTTCACCACACCCGTACTCACAAGTTGTGAGCCCCTGAGGGGATTGCCAGAGCCTCGTTATCAATCCGCGGCCACATAAGCAGATGTTCACATCTGCTCATCGCACTCAGATGTCCACAGAACTGTCCCATCTGAGTGATGATAGCAAAGATGTTCCCAAAATGCTCAATCTGCCGAGCAGCCGCGGCTTGTCCTCCCCGCACTATGGTGAGGTTGGGCTTTAGGGGAGAAGGAAACGAGGAGAAGTGACCAAGGGAGGCCGATGGAGAAAAAGATTGGAAACTGAAGAGTGAAGAGGATACCATCAAAGACAAGTTGAAGATTAATGAGTATCCGGCTAGGGTACCTCGGGATTGCCATTCCCGTACTCACAAGTCGTGAGCCCCTAAGGGGTTGATGGAGGTTATTGCCAATGGTTTCTCACCTGACTTCTGACTTGATGTTTTTGGGATACTTACCGGTCGGGAGAATTCTGCTCCAAGCCAGAGAGAACCTGTAATGGTTTACGCCCATTTCTCTCAAAATAGCTACATCTTCTTTGTATTTGTGATATGAATCACAAGCAACGTCTGCATTGCTCCCATCAGCTATAGAATTAGGATCAGCATGGGTGTAAGTGTCCCAGTTGCTTGGCGATTTGCCATCTTCATCCCAGGCACCTGAAAATCGAATAGAATCGAACATTATTTGTATACAAAATTCTTTCTATCGAACATTCTCAAAATATTCTAATTCACGGAACATTTTAAATTAGATATATTATTGTACAGGGTTGCTGGAATTCGAGCCTAATCATTGGGATCTCGTAAACCGTAAGAAGAAAGGAAAATATCACCAAATATTGAATAGTGGACTTACCTTCAATCTGGAAAGCAGATGTTGCGACACCGAACATGAAATTTGGAGGAAACCTCTTTCTGTTGAGAACATAATCATCTGCAATACTAAAATTCGTTCAAGTTAGTTTTCAATAACTGTTCGAAAATTCTTCAAACCTACGTGTAACTGGCTATGGACCCTAGAACTGCAAATTTCAAAATGGAAATCATAGTGGAGTCGTGTGAAGTACAAGTACTTCTCATTGATTTTGGAATGTGTTGTAATATAAATAGAGTTTGAAATGAATATTTGTTTTTATCTCATTATTTATTGGTCCTATTAAGAAAATATAGTGTATGCAATAACCACGTAATGGCTATTAACACACTCAAAAACTTTTAATTTTGTTGTACTCGTGTATTATTCAATAGCTATCATCACATGATCGTTGCATAAATTACTATTTTTTGAATTGATAAAAATATTGAAGTTCCATAGTGTTCCATTGTATATACAGGGTGCAAATGAAATGAAAGTACGTATATCATAAGAGGGGGGCGATTCCTGTTATATATTATAGAAAAAGTGAATTAATAGTTATTTTTGTATCTAGAGCGCAAAATGCTACTTTAGTGATCGAGATCTGAGTTAAAAAAAATAGTCGAGATGACCAAAGTATTTCGTGCTCGAGTTGCAAACAACATTTTTTCTACAAACGTCAAAAAATACAGTTCTAACATTCAGAAATGAATGATTTCGTGGATTTTCGCTTGATTGAGGACCATAAAGTTGATCATATATTTTACATAACAATGCGCGAAGTAGGTACTTCGCGCACTGTTTTACTTCGCGCATTGTTTTGTGCAAGTGCAAGGTATCATGGTAACTTAGGAAACTGAAAAAAGTGTGACTTCGCAATTTGTTATCAATGCGCGAACCTTGTCATTTTTTGACGTTTGTAGAAAAACATTCATTCCAAATTGCTTCGTTTTCGCTTTTCAAATAATTGGAAGTTTCGTTGAGAGTGAAATCGAGCTTCCTTTGGTGCTATTAGATTCGAAATTATAATTCCAGTGGTGTCACAGTAGGATTCTCTAAGTTTCATATTTTTATTAGTATAGATTGAACAATTGAAAGTACAACTCGTTTGCCCCTGTGTTACATTTGTATCTCGCTTAGTTCTTGGAGAAAGCATGATTCCAAATTGTGATCACTCGATAACCTCAATTGTTATCATTGCCAAAAGTTAACATAAAGGAACATTCATTATTATTATTATTATTACATATTCAAATGTCAGTATAGGTACTCCCCAAAAACTTAACGAACCTATTTTCCGCACTAGTGCGGAAGCGACTCTAAAAACATTGAAATGAGTGCGGAGGAATGGATTTTTCCGCACGCTGGTGAAAAAAAAGTTTATAGAATGAAAATTCGTAGAGAATTTAATCAGCTCTCATTTGATATCAGGAAACTTCTTTCTACGACGAACCATTTCCGACATATTATGTAAGTCAGTTTGTATACTGCCATCATTCTTTTTCAATCACCTCAACCTATTTCTCAGTGTGAAAATTATTGAGGTGAAAGATCGACTGGTTTGTAATTTTATTTTTTGAGGTATTTTCAATATTTTCTTTCAACATGCTACTCTTCAAAGGTATGTTGCTCCACTACCGAGATATTATATAAGTCAGTGTGTATACAGGGTTTCTCAAAAGAACCGAAACGACCGAATATTTCAGCAACGGCTTGACATAAAATTATGAAATTTGGTATACGGGTCTAGTCAGTTGTGCCGGATCTAAAAATAATATTTGAAACCTTGCCATTTTTTTAGTTTTGCCTATATAAAGCCTTCAACTTTATTTTTTTGAATGTAATGCTGTGTTTATTTTTAGCGCATTCGATTTGTCGTCTCAAAACTACTATGACCCTATAATATCAAATTTGTTTTCCCCCTATTTTTGTAAATATGACAAATGAACATTTCGTCAAAAAATATCACAACATTTCAATATTTCGAGAAATCGTGGCGATATGACGATAAAAATTAATTTATAAGGAAGTTTCCAGGAAGTCTGATCTGAAAATGCCATTTACAACGTTGCCAAATCTACATGTTGTTTATACTAAATCTTGCTAAGTATTTATTCAAACTGCCTTTTTAATAATTGAGCATTTTATTTGATGCCATGAAGTTACATTCTTGTAACCTATACAAATCGAACCCTATGGATCATGCGAAGCTATCAAGGAGTTTATGAATTAGTTTCCCGAGAAACAAATAAAAAAATCTAGAGTTTGCCGATCTATTAAAAAGGCAGTTTGAATAAATACTTAGGAAGATTTAGTATATAAACAACATGTAGATTTGGCAACGTTGTGAATGGTATTTTTAGATCAGACATGCTGAAATCTTCCTCATGAATTAATTTTTATTGTCATATCGCCATGATTTCCCACAATATTGAAATCTTGTGATATTTTTTGACGAAGTGTTCATTTGTCATATTAACAAAAATAAAGGGAACACAGATTTGATATAATAGGGTCATAGTAGTTTTGCGACGACAAATCGAATGCGCTAAAAATAAACATAGCATTACAATTAAAAAAATTAAGTTGAGGGCTCTATGGGAAAAACTGGGAAACTGGCAACGTTGCAAATATCATTTTTAGATATATATACCAAATTTCATGACTTCATGTCATGCCGTTGCTGAAATATTCGGCCGTTCCGGTTCTTCTGGGAAACCCTGTATATACTGCCATTCTCTTTCCATCACCTTAACCTATTTCTTAGTTAAAAAATTGTGGTGAAGAGTCGACTGGTCTGGTTATATTTTTTGAGGTATTTTCAATCATTTCATTCAAATTGCTACTCTTCCAAGGTATGTTGCTCCACTACCACGATATGTTAGCCAGTGTGTATTGTATATTGCCAATCTCAGATGATCGCAGATACGGATTCCGTTGACTGAGAAAAAAAATTGCGCATTCAGAGGGTCATTCCAAGTACTTTCAGAAATCGCCAACGTTATTTATAGATTTTCAGTTATTTAGGAAGAGTACATTTTTGGAAATGTCTCTTATTTCATTCTATGTTATATTATTGAGATCCAGAAAATCTGGAAATGCTTTTCCATAGCAACATGAGATTCAATGTGATGATCCTTTCAACCCAGTTTCAGCCACCATCAATGGTTTTCGAAATCCCTGATAGAAAATATCTCTTTAATAATAATTTTTCATTTCATTCGTTGTTTCTCAAGCACAAGCAGAACTGCCTTTTTTTTTGTGTTGGTATTTTTTTTTAGTATTGACAAAATATTATCGGTTTCTTGCTAGTTTTTTTTGCACTACCCAATCTATATTCTGGTTTAATATAAGATTTTTCCAAACCTTCTACATATTTTATGGAAACCATATATTATACCCATGTACCTACTACATGGTAGGAGTCGTTAATCTATGATGGTAGGTATATTGTGTATACACCAACTTGCTATTGACCTCACGTGAGGTCCTTCAGTACATGAGTGTTGTTTGTGGGCTTGTTCGTCACGGAACACGAGTACCTTTTTTCTGTAAATAGGTGTGAAATTTCATAATCAGAGATTGAATTGTCGAAAAATATGCATACAAAGAATTTTGAGCAATATTTAATGTTGTATTATACACTCCTGATTTAAATTTTGAAATAATTTTAGTTCTTGTACCAAATTGCATCATTTTATCACGTGACGTTTCGGAAATATTCAAGAAATATCATCTTCAGGAGCCCCCTTCTAGGGGGCCGTAGCTCCCTCAGGAGACATTTCTCGACTCATGTTCATTGGAAGTTTTCTATTTATTTTTGGTAGTAAAAGCCACTGGTGAAGTTTGGCAGGCTAATTTCAGGACACCCTGTATAATGTACTTTGTTGGTATGTGTGTATACACCAACTTGCTATTGACCTCAAGTGAGGTCCTTCAGTATATGCAGTGCCGGTTTTACCAGGGGTCTCTGTTGGGTGCAATAGCACCAGGCGGCGAAATCTTCAGGGCGGCTTTATGAAAAGACAACTGCACATCTTTTATCATCAGTCATTATCTGGATATTTTGATTTTTCACGTGAAAGATTTGATCACTACACTACCTAAACTGAAATTTATGTTAAGAAGTGACTCATCCCAAGAAACGCACAATTAGGAGAGAAAATACGGCAAAAAGTTTAAACCAGAGAGAAAAATGGCGGACACAGTGTTTTATTTGAAGTTGCAGATTTGAAATTTTTCGTCGGCCTTCCACCTACATATCTTTTTCAGAATCATTTGACTTTCTGTTCAAGATAGTGTCAGCAGAGGATGGAAATTTGATCAAATTGACAACTAAACTACAAAAAAGTATGTAGAGGATCTGGACAAATTTGTTATTCATCTGAAAAAAACAGTTTTCTCTCCTAGAGACTAAAGCAGAAACTCCTATTATGGAATTAGTCCAAGTTCTACACGAGAATAATGTAATATAATATTTTTTCCCAATATGAATTGTTTTAGAAATTATTGACCTAACAATTTTGTCTCAATTAAAACAAGATCTACTAAATAAAACTGTATAGATCTTGTGAAGAGTATCATACAGGCTTGCATTGAAGTAAGAAAACACATTTTTGTATTGTTATACCTTATGTTCCAAGTTAAGACCTTGCCTATTATCATTTGATTTTCCTTTTTCATTTTAACATATACCTATTCATTGTTGTTCATTATGTGAACACTAAAGAATTATGTTTTCAATTTTATTCATCAAACTTCCATGTGCATGGAACTTCTATGGTATAGGTACACTACTTATATGATTATGTCGTTTTACTCCCATCCCAGAAAACGTCCAACGTGCCTATAGAATTTATTATCACTTCAAAAATGTGCCATGAGAAAAAATCCGAAGACCTGAAAGACTAGGAATATTTTTGAGTCTGAAGGGCGGAGTGTCCATCATAGCACCAGGCGCAAATCACCTTAAACCGGCACTGAGTATATGAGTTTTGTTTGTGGGTTTGTTACTGACTCCATACGCCACCTCAATGGGAAAGCAACAGTGAATCGTGAAAATTGGAATGTATGACTCATTTTTCAAATAAAAATTCTCTGCTCTGTCGGGATCCGATCCAGCAACCTTTTGATGTGTTATTCCGCCGTCCC